CCGCCCATACTTGCGACTGATTCTCCAGTTTGCAGTCCCAGCTCTAAACACGGCAATCGAAACATTATGGACACCACTAGCGTTATCATTATCATTATTGGTGTCATGATGACTGCTGTTATTAGTAATGCATCTGAAGTCATGCTCATTACTGTCATTGCCGCATCACTATCACAATCGTGCAAGCACTAACCAACTTGTAGATATTCTTTCCAGACGGTGCAAAACCACCACCCTTTGTTTTTGCATGGCCGAATGCAAGAATTGATCTCAGCTTATTGTGCTCATCTTCGGTCACCGCGCGCACTTCATCAGATATTTTCGAATTTGCGCATTGTTGTTGTTGTGTGCAAACTGAAATAAACTCTTCAAGCAGATTATATTGTTGAGGTGTTAGCTCACCTGAATATGTCACCAACTGAATTAGGATAAAGCGGACACAGGAACGGTAAAATAGAGCTATGATCTTCTGGTAGCTGATCCAATTGAATTTGAGGATTGAATAAAGAGTGAACATATAGCTCTTTAAAATGTCGTTTAGGACGCTTGAAAGCTTTCAGGTCAATACCGCAGCGTTATCGATCTGAATGATTTTTGAGCTGAACAGCTTATCTCAAGGTGGGATTCGATTTGTCAGCTCGGTGAACAGTTATCATGTCGATACAACCATTCACACGTATTCCGTTGAGCGATATGGGTTGTTGTCACGTTTAAATTATGAAGGATTCCCCTAATTGGTGAATTTATATGGAATGGATGGAATATGAGTGAATTAAGCGATGAATTCAAGAGAAACTCAACTAACCAACTGCACTCAACACAAATGTTAGAACGGTCAGGAAGAGCATCACTAGAGTAGACTGAAGATTGAAGAACGACTCAACAACCTGATTGGATTCATCTACAAAATCACTATTTTATACTGTTCAGAAAACGATACCATTTGCAATTCAATTGTGCTTACACAAAAGAATTGCGGTCTGCAAATAGATATTTTCTCAAGTGGGTGTCTCATTGAATATGGAAGAAAGAAGCATTTCGCAATGGAATAAACCATATAATCATTTTTATTGTTTTATCCTTTGTATTATTCGTGTTATTACTATTAATATCAATATTGATATTGCTATCATTTTTATTTTGATTATTTTTATTTGCATGATATTATGATTGCTTCAATGAAGAATGGATGTAAAGTAGGAATGCAGCGTGTTTGATGATTAAATATTCTATCAATGGCGCTTGAGAATTTCATAGAAATGATTCCGTCGAAACGATTTCACGGATCGCAAACAATTGTTTAAACGTATCTTTTCCTTTATTTTCATGTATTTGTTCACACAACACCAACAAAAATATAAATACAGCAGCATACAATTGAAATCGATGAACAAGCTTAAGGGTGTCTGTTTTATCTGTAACAATTCATCACAATACCTTTAATATTATTACCGTATGTATCATTGCTTTTATTCGTGATACGCTTANNCAAGATGTGCACTTCATTGAACACATGATATCGTCGTTACTTTTCAACTTTTTCAAATTTTTCTAATTGATTTTGCCCATTGCTGAGCAACCGAAATGAACTTGAATAGAATCGTTGAATAACGAAATTTAAATGTCTCATATTTAATGCAATCAAGCGAGAGATTTGTGTTTTTTTAATTGAGGTGCTGTCGGTGTATAAACAATTACGCACGCACAACTTATAATTTACCAGACACATAACTGAACGATTGAATATGATACAATTACATAAAGGTAATCATGAAAAAATACATACGGAACGAACGGACAAAGGAAATGAGTGCTCAGGATAAACAGATACAGACAGATTCACCACAATGTTGAAGATCTATTCCAATAGCTATTCGAATATGATTGAAAGATATGATCACCTATATACTAAGTCATAATATCACATATACTATGCACATGACACACTAATACATATTATACTATGTCATATTACCTACTAATATATAGTAAGCACAACGAACATTTGAATGCGATTATGACCTAGGGCAGCAATCAAATCACTTTCATTAGTGTTGAGCTTCAACTAAGTCCTTGCAGAATATATTGCGGACTAATGAGTGTTTTCAGTGCCTTTCCTTGTTGTTTTTGCTGTTTGGTATTTGCCCGAGTTGACCAGGATTAAATTGCACAGACCGATTTCACTTGAATTGTGGTTGTTCTGGGTGCTGTACGTAGTGGCATCACTTGTTTTTTCGTTGCTGAAATGTTCATCACTGAATTAAAGCTAAATCGCACGTCAGCTAATCGGTCATGTTAGCGTTGTTGTGGCCGTGGATGCATCAATATTACATCAATCATCAACAGAACCGTTTTTGACGATTGATCTTTTCAGTTTCAGTTCACTCATTCACAAGATCATTTGAAAACTTACATCTTAAATGATCCTGTGAGCGTTTCTTGATGAGTTTCGATATTGATGTAAGCCACGCATCTAATGCAGGTGGTATCTTCACTATTTTCAATGCAATTTGGATAAATACCGAAATTTTTACTCGAATTTTGCCTACAATGCAGAAATGAGAAAATTCCTTTCAGCAAAATATCACTTCCCCTATCGGTTGCTTTTCTAAGTGTTTCACTCCTTAAATTTGTCGGGTTTCGAGTCATGTCTACAAGGGCACGCATTCAGTATAATGAACACGTATGGCTGGTTGGTTGCTCATTGTGATTTAATATGTTCTTCTATGAAAAGTGAATGCATGCCTTCAGTGACTAGCAAATATTATTGCAGAAACATATGATGAATGTGAACTATTCGTGCTGGTTCAATCGCTAAACAGGCATTAACAATAGCCATTCTTATAGATGATGTTTTAAGCAAAGTATTTTCTTTGAGTAATGTCACGCAATACTATTGATGGCACATCAGAGCTAATGTACTTAACCATATACTGCTTAGAAAGACTGATTTCAATAATGGAGTTAAGTTTTTTGCAGTGAATATAAGGGTGAACGCAGCAAACGAATGCTCGAAATGAAAATCGAAAAATGAATTTGAAATAAAAGCAAAGTGAAATAATTTGATCGAGTATAATACAAAAACAGTTTGACTCACTTTTATGACAGCAAAGTAAATCGAGAATTTTGGGTCGCATCGAGTTGTTAAAAATAAGGTATATTATGGCCATACCACCTAAAATCAGCAGTTCATTTTATTTAATCTCAAACCGTCCAACGTCAAAGTGGCGATTTTGACTTGTGCCAAAGCTTGTGGCCCATGTCGACCCCTAATTACTTAGTGTTGCAATATAAAACTGAACCGATAGTGAAATCATCGAACTGAGTTCAATCTCTATATATTGTCATGAAATTCGTTCAGAATCGCGTTTTTTCCGTGACGAAATCAATTTTTGCAGTGAATGGAATTTGATTAGGTTCGGTGGAAACGACTTCAAGGTGGCGTTAGGAGTAATCGCCCGTTAATCTACTTAAGTGAAAGAACCGACGAACCGTGACAGGACTGCCATGTAATTTCGAGAATGATCGTGAACATTGGTGGCACTGGAATGAATTGAATGAGGATGTACATCGAAGAAGCAGTCAGCAGCGGTAAGGATATGAGGAAGGTTTGCAGTAGAACCTTAAATTGTCATGAGAAAGTTCATTTTGAATGGAAATTATCGGCAGTTTGACAGTTGAACGTTGTGATAGTGCTCTCGGTTTTATCACCGACTGTATTATGATTAGTTTTACTGGAACATCGATGACCACATAAGTGCAATTGTGCACGTAGTAGCGGTTTTATTTTTGAATGTATTGTTTTGT